GAGGGGTGGGGTTGTGGGGTGGACCCTCTAAAATTGAATAGAAACATTTGTACAAACAAGCCTTTCATTGGAGAGAAAACTGTGACTCTCCTTAGTCTCGAGTCAAAAAAAAATGATGACTATTTTTCATATTTCTTTTTTTATTATGGTAAAATACATGTAACATAAACATCACCATCTTAATTACCATTTTAAAGTGTATGGCTCAGTGGCATTAAATACATTCACACTGTTGGCAACTATCATCACCATTCATCCCTGTAATTCTTTTCATCTTGTAAAACTAAAACTATTTCTGTTAAACAGTAACTCCCCATTTTCCCCTAGTCTCTGGCAGTCACCATTCTACTTTATATGATCTTGAATACTCTAAGAACTTTATATAGTGGAGACATGCAGTATTTATCTTTTGATGATTGGCTTATTTTACTTTAATATCCTCAAGATTCATCATGTTGTAGCACATTGAGAATTTCCTTCCTTTTTAAGGCTGCATAATATTACATTGTGTGTGTGTGTGTGTGTGTGTGTGTGTGTGTGTGTGTATTTTGCTTATCCATTCATCCATTGATGGACAGTTGGGTTGCTTCCACACTTTAGCTGTTGTGAATAATGCTGCTGTGAATGTGTGTGTACAATATAACTCCTTTTCAAAGCAAGTTCGTAAGTGCAAGTCTCCCCTCTTTTCTTTTGAGTAGAGTTGTATATTAAGAGATTTTCAGAATCTGAGAGGCAGCTGATTTTAAAGTTCTGAGTGAGTCTGCGGTACACACACGTGTGCTTGCCCCCGAGGACATATGGCTGAATGCTCTTTTCTTCCCTAAGGAGGTAACAGCCAATGTAAAGAAAGCAAAGGGCTGGGACAACAAAGGGCTGGAACATCTGTGTGAGTTTTTGCTGGAGCTGACCCCTACCCCTTTGTCTTATCCCCTTGGCAGGTTACCCCAGCCACACTGAGTAACGATTGGCCAAAAAGGAGCCCCTTTCTATGTTGGGGAGTAAGCAAGGGAAGGACCAATATATTTCTCCTCCTAGTCCCCAGAGCCTGGAACTCCCTCCTTTCCATGCACCTAGCAGTGTTACCAAGTCCAAACTCGTTCTGCTCACCACACAACAGGCCAATAAATTGGGAGATGAGGTGTTGGGGCAAGGACGAACAACTTCATTTAGGAAGCCAGCAGATAGAGAAGATGGCAGACTGACGTCCTGGAGAACCATCTTACCCAAATCAGAATTCAGGCACCTTTTTCACTAAAAGGGGAGGGAGTGTAGTTAGTTGTTGCAAATTTCCTAGTGTTGGAATTCTTTGTTCTTGAAGCTGTCCGCCTAGGTCAGGTCACGATGTTCCTGTAAACCTCCAACAAGACAAATGTTATTCTCTATTCTGCAACTTTTTATCTCTATATGAATGGAAAAGTGTTACACCTTTAAAGATCACAGCCTTGAGACTGGGCTTTTCTGGGTATTTCAGGCTAGAGGCAACTTTCTTTTACAAAAGGTGCAGAACCAGTAAGACTAAGCATAGGAAACAGAGCACAGGGTTAGAGCTAAAGGAACAGATCTAATACGGAGTCAGACTTGTTCTTCCCTATTACAGCAATATGGTCCCTCCCTAGGTGAGTGTGAGGTTTGAGGTAAGACCTGGATTTGCATTCTATCTCTCCTACTGTCTGCTGCATTATTTGGAGACAGTTATTTAAATTCTTTGAACTTTAGTTTCCTCATTTGTAAAATGGAGGTAAAAATCCTACCATGAAATGACATTGTTAGGACTGAGATACGTACATCAGGTGCTTAGTGCTGGGCCTGGCTGTATAAACAGGTGCTGCTTCGTTAAAACTTGGGCTCCCTGCTACAAATCTAAAGGGAGGGATTTCTAAAGTGAGAGCATTGTTAAATCTGATCAAGATTTTCTTTTCTTTGTGAAACTATGAGAAATGGAAACAGGCAAATCTACCAAATAAACGGAGGAGGTAAATCTGAGCTTAATGGCTATAAAGATGGAGGAGTTAAAGGCTAGGCTGGGACGGGAGCAGAGAGAGAAATAAAGATCTGTTATTACCTGTTACATGAACATTGTCCCATCTCTCTGAAGTTGTTGGCCAAAGAGAGAAAGGCTGTGTCACTCCATTGGGACATTCTGAACGTGCCCTCACATCTCCACAGTACATGAGCAAAACTCCAACTGAGGAACTACCTTCAAAGTCTTTGGAATATTTGAAAAATTATTTATCCAATCAACTGCACAATAAAGGAAAACATAACACTGTTTACATTGTTCACATCTAAACATTAATAGGATCAAAAACAGGAAACAGCAAATCACACACCCCCAACATCTAAACCAAGCCATTATTTATGGGCCCTTTCTTTGTCCCTATTTACACAGAATTAATTTTATATAGCTGCTACCTATGCGTAGATACCATTCCAAGTTCTACTTTCCCCACTGATTTATATAGACCCCACCTCATATTCTATAGTCCTCATACTTAACATTTCAAGTGAGTGTATTTCTATTGATATGTTGTATCTATATCACAAGCTTTGAGGTTAGTTTTTTACTCTAAAATAAATGTTTCTCCCATACAAATTCTTCCTCCCTTGTCAAAAGCACTGATAAATATGATGTTATTTGTCATCTTTTACCAACTTTATCTCTAGAAAGATTGTATTAATACTAATCAAGGCCCCTAGCAATGGTTAAATATACCTGAAGTGGAATTATTCCCATTTTTCCCAATACTGGATTTTTAATTTTCTTTTTTTGCTAATTTAATGAGAGTAAAGTGAGTATCTTGTAGTTGTTTTAATTTTCAATTTTTAAATTATAACAAATATCAACCTTTTACTGTTTTTTTAAAACTGAACTATTTGTCTCCTTTGGTGTGAACTGTCTAACCCAGGGGTTGGCAAACTATGGCCCTTAGGCTAAATATGAGCAGCTGCTTGTTTTTAGAAATAAAGTTTTACTGGAACTCAGCCTTACTCATTTGTTTACATGTTGTCTGTTGCTGCTGTTGAACTGCAGTGGCAGAGTTGAGTAGGTGCAACAGAGCAAAGGCTAAAAAATGTACTCTGGCTCTTTACAGAGAAAGTTTTCGGCCTCTAATCCCATCTCTCAGCTCTTATTCACTGTTGTTCTACCACACTTTATGCTCCTGCAATATCAAAGTACTGTGGTTCCCCCACATATCGTGATAATTTATGTTTTGGTGTTTTTACGCATGCTATGGCCTCTTTCTGGAATTTTCCAACGCCACTCTGCCAGGAAGTTTCATCCTTCCAAACTCATACGATAAAGCATCTCTTTAATTCCAATTCACAACATTACTTTTTGTTAGAAGATACTGACAGTTGGAATAAGAATCAAGAAAACAATGCCTGGGAAAGCACTTTGTAAAACTATAGGAGCTATGTAAAAGTAACAGCTTCTAATAAGAACTATTGTACCTGGCAGCATCAATGCCCACCTTTGTTTCTACTTTTATTTAAAGCCATTTACAAGGAGCTTTCTAGACTAAAGCACCCCAATTTGTTCTCATGGAGTAAAGGATCTAATTACACCGTTCCTGTAAAACCTCTTTGTTAAGTACCAACAGCATAGTTGGGTGTCTGGACTACTTATTTTGGGAACACTAGAAGCTAATTTGGATCAATTAGATGTGTCTCATCAATTATTGAATAATCATTAAGATGACTCAAAACAGCAATCAACCAAACAAAAGAGGCCAATTCTTTGAGTTGTCCTATTTGACAACAGAGAACAAGGCTGGAATCCTAGAGAAACATTAAATACAAAAATCAGAGAAAATATGCTAATTCAAAAAGCCATTCTATCCATTTGGTTCATATCATTATGTTGAGACCCTGGCTCTGCACTACTATATATATGTAAATATAGATCAATATAATTTTATATATATATTATATATATATTTATCTTTCATGGGTGTGCTTTCCTTTCTCTGTTCCTCCCTTCCTTTGGGAATCAAAAACATCTCATAGAAAATATTTTCAGGAAATCAAATGTATATAAAAACTGTAATGCAATGTTGTGTGTATGTTTGAGTAAGTGTGTGTGTGTGTGTGTGAGAGAGAGAGAGAGAGAGAGAATACAGTGTACTTATTTAAACAATGATGTCCCGTGGATCCGGTAAGGAGCTTAGAAATTTCCATTTGCTTTGTGGAAAGTTTAATATGTGTGTTGAAAGCCACAAGGCGAAGGTTCAGATTACTCCAAGTGAAGGCCTGGGTGGTTATGAATGCTGAGTCCCAGAGACAAAAGCTGTTAGTTATAACTGCATTTCTGGAGAGGAGGGCGCCAGTTCGTTCACCACTTCCATTAGGGAACAACTACTTTTAGCAGTGTCTTTCTCTCAGGAAGTGCAATATGTAGTAAGGGCAGAAAAATAAGCAAAGGAGGAAATTTGTTATTGATTTTCTTTTCTTCTGTGAAATTACATGAAAGCTCAGTGGCTTGTAGCAGTAACTTAGTCAATAAGGCTCCATTTGAAACCACCTTGAAGTTCAATTTTCCCCCGATCCTTTTCAACTTCCTCAAGTGTTTGATTCTTTTGTATTGAATTGTCTTTGGTGCTGAGATACTATGAAGCTTTTTATTCAAAACACCACAGAGATGATTTTGCTAAAGGTAAAGCTGTGAAGTACGCCCAGATGGTAAAGTTCCAGCGCTCCATTTTGGTTAGAAATCGACAGCACTGCACACTAAACCTGAAAAGCCGAGGGAAAACAGAGGTGGAGGAGGTGACTAGTAGGGCTCCTTACCGTAAAGCGATCTGTCAGTATTAGGTGTTGCTGGGTTTTCTGGGGTTCGAGCTGTGGAGACGTTTCCTCCTGTAGGGGTGGGGGAAGGTCATTTATGTCAGACTCACCGTTACAGGAGTGTCCGTTTTGGTCGTAATACTTGCTAACATCTATTGAACATTTCCTGTGTGCTGGATAGTATGCTGAGTCTTTATATGGTTTCTGTTCTGTAGGGAAGCAATAAGTCGCCTGTGTGAAGCTGTCCCTGGGGCCAGTGGAGCCATTAAAAAGCGCAAGGTAAATATTGGTGTGGTTTTCTTGTTTTGTGTTTCCCTAACTGTGGGAAAGATAATATCAAAATAGTTGTTAGTTCATTCCACCAAGTGGACCTAAGGTCCAGAATGGCCTTTATTAGTTGGCCTGGGATCAGAGATGCACTCAGAGTTGTTCTCGTCCTTCAGATTTTTCTGACTTGCCAGACATTGTCTGAAATGGCGATGCCTGGAGTGACAGAGTGGAGAAAGCACCTGGCTCCTTCCAAGTCAGAAAATCTGGTTGCAGGGCTGGGTCTTTACTTAGCTCTGAGCATGATATCTCAGCTCTCTGAGACTCTATTCTTATTCCCGTAAAGTTAAGTTGTTCAACCAGACGACCAGTTTTGGTACCTTCCAGTTTCAATCTTTGGTAATGTATGCATTCTGCATGTTAACATTTTAGACTTTTAAGATTCCTTGTCCTATTTTCAGATGGAAACATGGGTGCTGGTAGAGGTGGGGTAATCAGTGAGTAGAAGGAGCTTTTCAAGCTGAAAGAAAGCATAAGATTTGGTGTTGGACTTGAATTTAAATCCTGTCTCTGCCACCTACTAACTGTGACCTTGGACTAGTCATTTCACCTTCAGGGTCCTTGGTTTCTGCATCTGTGAAATGGAAGAAAACAGCACTTACCTGATAGAGTTGTTTAAGAATTAAATGAAGTGATGTGTTCAAAGTGCCTAACACAGTGTCTGGCCTACATGAGACCTTTCAACAATAATGGTAGTTAGTATTATTGCTATGAAGCTATTAACCCTAGAATATTTAGTTGTTTTGAAGTGTCCAAAGGGGATGGCTAAAGGCTCTTAAGTTAACTATATATATACATATATATATATATATATATATATATATACACACACACATATATACACACACACATACATATATATACACTATAGAATTTAGACTGTTTAAGAGGGAAAGGATTTTTAGAGCTCTTCCAGTCAAACCCTCTTACTTTGCTAGCCACTAAGCTCTGAGAAGAGACTTGCCTGGAGTCACTAGGACAATGGAGGTCAGCGCCAGCTGCAGAAGCCAGGGTTTCAGTTCCAGCTTAATGCTCTATTTTCGTACCACCCATTTTTTATCTTTATTTATTATCTTTCATGAGGCTGAACCCATGGTCACCCAGAGTGACTCAGATGAGCTGCTTGGTATGGGAAACTGAAAAATGGCCCTTGAATTCTATTAGAACTCCTTATTACTAGTTCTTTGACAGAACCCATGGTCTGTCTAGCCTCTCATAACCTCTGTGAATAGGATGTTCCAACTGGATGATCCCAACAAACAGGCTTATTCATTCAAAACTTTCTCATTTCACGAATAGTGGGAGTCTACACTCCAAAACAAAAGAAAACAAAGTGAACCAGGCTATCATCTTTCCAGAAAGTACACATGTAAAGACAAAAGGAAATTTTTTAGTTAATATCCTTTGATTGCTAGCATTTATTGAGCACTTAATAATGCCAGGGACTCGTCCAAGCACTTTATATCTTTTATATTTGTTTTCCTCCCAGTTTGAAAAATTGTGGTAAAATACATAACATAAAATTTACCATTGTAAACATTTTTAAGTGTATGGTTCAGTGATATTAAGTACATTTATACTGTTGTTCAATCACCATCTCCATCTATCCCCGTAACTCTTTTTTTAAGAAAAAAAAAAGACATTTATTTGAAAAACAATATACTTAGAATTGCTTGCTTATAAAAAGCCCATTTCCCCCAAGCCTTGACTTTGTAATTTCATATTAAGCAATGAAGTTATTTTACACAATTTAGTTAAACAATTTAATGGGAATGGCCCCATACTTTTTTATCTTGTAAAACAGAAAGTCTGTACCTATTAAACAGGAACTTCCCATTCCACCCTCTCTCCAGCCCCTGGCAACCACCATTCTACTGTCTCTATGATTTTGACTGCTCTAAGTACCTCATATAAGGGGAATCATAAGTATTTGTCTTATTGTGACTGGCTTATTTCACATTACTTCACATAATGTCCTCAAGGTTCATCCATCCTATAGCATATGTCAAAATTTCCTTCCTTATTAAGACTGAATAATATTTCACTGTATGTATGTATCACAATTTGCTCATCCATTCATATGTTGATGGACACTTGGGTTACTTCCATGTTTTTAACTGTTGTGAATAATGCTGCTATGAACATGGATGTACAAATACCTCTTCAAGTGCTTGCTTTCAATTCTTTTGGGTATATAAAACAAGAAGTAGAATTGCTGGATCATATAGTAGGTGTATTTTTAATTTTTGAGGAACTGCCGTAATACTGTTTTCCGTAGCGGTTGTACCATTGTACATTCCTACCAATAGTGCATGAGGATTTCAGTTTCTCCACATCCTTGCCAACACTTGTTATTTTTTCCTCCTTCCTTCCTTCCTTTTTTCCTTCCTTTTTTTCTCTCTGTCTCTTTTTTTTTTTGACTAGTTATAGATCTATCCAGATTTTCTTCCTTCATGATTTAGTCTTGACAGATATTATATTTCTAGAAATTTGTCCATTTCATCTAGGTAATCCAATGTGTTGACATGCAGTTGTTCATAGTATTCTCTTATAATCCTTTTACTTCTATTGAATTGGTAGTAATGCCCCCCCTTTCCTTTCTTATCTTACTAATTTGAGTCTTCTCTTTTTTCTTAGTTTATCTAGCTAAAGGTTTGTCAATTTTTTTCACCTTTTCAAAGAAACATCTTTGTCTTCATTGATTTTCTCTATTGTTTTTCTAGTCTCTCTAGCATTTGTGTCTGCTCTAGTCTTTATTCTTTCCTTCTATTAGCTTTGAGTTTAATTTGTTCTTTGTTTTTGAGTTCCTTAAGTTGTAAAGTTAGGTTGTTGATTTGAGATCTTTTTTCCCTTTTACTGTGTTTATAGCTATAAATTATATCATAATTTATCATGTTACAGATATAAAAGCACCACTTTCAGTGTGTCTCGTAAGTTTTGGTATGTTGTGTTTTTCATGCTCTTAATCATAACAAAAAACCTAGACAGCAACTTTTTCTCTTTTTTTTTTTCAGACTTGTGTTCAAAAGGACTTGAGAATTTAGCTAGTCCAAACTCTCATGGGAATTCCTTTTATATAAAGCAGGCCTCTACTCCCAACACTTGGGGAGAAGGGAATGTATGAGAGAAGGTCTGAGTGCTCAAGTTGCACTAAACTTACTTAAGAATTTGTTGCATTCCAATTGAGAAAAGTTTTTATTAAAAAAAAGCATTTCATCTCATTTGATTTATTTAAAATGAAATAGGGAGGAAGAATGTGGGCTTTGACCATTTCTTAACATTTTAAAAACATAAATATTCATTCTGTAACAAAACCCATAACTTCGAGTGTTGTTTTGTTGTCTTTAAAGCCTCCAGCCAAGTTCCTATCAACAGTTCTTGGCAAAAGTAATCTTCAGTTCTCGGGAATGAACGTAAAGCTGACCATCTCCACGTGCAGCCTCACACTGATGAACCTTGACAACCGACAGGTAAGAGTGCTGTTTGTAGTTTACCATGTCTGCTTTTCCAGAACAGCTTGGGCATAACAGAGAGAATAAAGTTTCAGACAGCAAGCTTGAACCTTAATAAAACACAAGGGGAAGATCTGCCGAGGGCTTATGCATAACAGTAATTGGAATAGCAGTATTACTAACCCATCACTGGGGCATTTAACTGCCTGCATACTTGCCCCTACCGAATTGGCTTTGTAATAAGAACTCAGGCGCAAAGGCCGTGGTATCATTTAGAATATCTCTGAGTCAATCATTTATTACTCTCTGCCACACACCCTTGAAGGGAAAGCGATTCCATGATCAGAACTAACAGACTGTGTGGTGGATATGGGGAGCAGATGAAGGACAGAGGGGAAAGGGGATGTTAGGTTAAATGCTCTAGCCAACTGAAATTTAAGCAGAAAACATTTTCTTCCAAACCTTAAGGTTGAAAAGCTTTCTCAAATGTTATCGTGTAAACAGTATTTTTGGCTTTGATGATTTATGATGCTGTGGTTTGCCTAAGTTCTCCTTGTAAACATTATTTCTCACAGAACAGCATTGTTGAAAGAAATATGGAAGATATACAGGCACTGCGCTAAATGTGTACTTTAAACTTGGACACTGTTTTTGACTTTACTTCTTATTTTTTTGAACTAAATTCCTTGTGTCAGAGTATTTATGTATGTTAGAGTCTAATTTTTGTCTAATATGTAGTGATTTGAGGTTTTCAGTATTTAAGGTTTTACTCTATGGAGTGCAGTTGATCAGAGACTCATGGGAGGTTTAATGTGTGCTTGGCAATGATAAAACACTAAGAGGCTTTGAGGTCACATATAAGTTGAAAGCCTGGCTTTGCCACTAACAAGCAAGTTACCCTCCCACTCAGTTTTCCTGATCAGTGAAATGAGGATTATAGTGCTTATTCATAGAGTTTCTGAGAAGATGGATTTAACAATACTGTGTCTCACAGGGTTATATAGAGGATTAAGTGAGATCATGGATGTAAATCACTCAGCACAGTGCTCATCACATGGTACCTATTATTATTATTAACTCAAACATTCTTCCCTGAGGCCTTTCATATACTCAGTCCTTAGCAAGGAAAGCATAGTGTTACATGGAAAATTATAAAATTGTCAGTAACACATAAGTACAGTTATACACACTTTGACTTCCATTTTTTTTTGCCAAAAATTTCACTTATGATTTTGAGGGCTGTTTTATTTTCTAAATTAAAAAAAAGAACAAAACACATTGTTTACACAGTAGTATAAAACACCATAGAGGAACGTGCTTAATGTGAAACAATTTAAAATAGATTCCTGTCTGGTCGGGTCCTGGTTGGTTATCCAAGAGAGGTGACATCATTGGTACAATGACAGCAGAACATTTGGGGCTGTACTTGGAAGATGCAGCCTCTCTGGATGGAAGGTGAAACATTCATTGTCTTTCAGATGCTTTGCCCTCAAGACATTTGTGGATGTAAAATTTATTTTTCATTCTCACCCATGTGAATGGTACTAGGAATGCTCAATGCTTTTAGTTATAAGGTTTCATTGAATAGAGGAGCCCTTGAATTATCTCCAGTTTTGTAGGGGAGGAAGAATAAGCAAAGAGAGAGCCATCATGGTGACAGTCTTATGTGCAGAATCGAATGAGCATTTAAAAAAAATGGCTCTTTCCATGGGGTGACTGAAGTGAATGGGGAATTTAGGAAGAATAGGGTTGTGGCATGTATGGTAGGGGGCACAGTTTATTCTCAACACCTCTCTTCCCCTCCACTGCTCTTTTCCAGGCCACTGCAGCTAGAGCTGGTATTGCCACTCGTCCATAATCTTTCAGGCAAACAGGATGGACAATGGGCATGGGTGGCTTCCACTACCAATAGTTACAGCAATGAGGTGTTTTGGGGAGTGATGCACATCTTTTCTGCACGGATGGCATGGACTCGGTGGATCTCAATCATATCAGACCCAGGGGCTGATTTTCTAAGATAATTTTTAAGTATTCTGCAGACCTGAGGAAAGTGGCTGCAGGGGGCGGGGTTGAGGGGTGGTAAAAAAAAAATGTGCCAGTTTGGAGGCTTCTACTCAAGAACTTTATGCATCCCATCAAAAGGCAGCCCAAGTGTTCCAGGGATAGAGGCTGCAGAGAAGCGACCCTACATGCATGAGAAAATGGTTTATTAATTAAAATTTCCTTAAAGAAAAGTACCCTTTGAAGTTCAAAGATAAATACAAATAGTTTTTTCCCCATTTACACTAAGTCTAAGATATACTTTGGACTGAAAACATAAACAGGTTCAAGTTTATAAATCCATTCATAGAAAACAGAGCACTGATGGGTTAGATGGTTCCCATTCATCTTCAGTCACTGAGAACAACATCAAGAATGTAACTATTCACTCCCAGGAAATGTCTCACAGAACCTGAGGCAGAAGATAAGATTACAGTAAACACGTAATGCTTGCAATTTAAAAAACTTACCATATTTGGGGATGGGAAAATACATTTTGGAAAAGCAAGTTATAGGGGCTTTTGTATAGTATTCGTTTTAAAAATTCAAGCAGCAGACACCCTTGACATACTTTATTTTAAGGCCTTAAGCAAAAATGTCGGTCTCAGTAGCTCCCACCCTCACTGTTTCTTTACTCATTTCTACATCCCTGTCACCAACTTTAACAGCTACTGAAATTGAGAAGGGTATTAAAGAGATGATGAAGAAGGTAAAACAGACAGAAAATGGGGACATCTTTAGTCTCCATGAAGGGAGGCAATTCAAATATCTGCCAAGGCCAGGAAGGTAATGCAAACTGTCCAGGTGCAAACACTGGGATAAATGATGAGTGTCACTCGGTCTCCATCTTGGGGAGACAACACTGGGGAACATGATAAAGAGAATACTTGCCCTGTGTAAGAGCAAATCAGAGGCTTCCCGTGTTACTATAGGTCAAGGGCTGCCAGATGAACTTCCACTTAAAAAAAAAAGGGTGGAAACCTGGAGTTTTGCTGCTATCTCTGGATTATAAAATGTTGGTCTTTAATTAAGAAATTAAAATTATAAGCATGAGCTTAAACAAAATAGATCTGTGTTCTTGAAGACAGCCAACATGGGACATCTGATCTAAGCAAACCTTTTTAGTAAATATGGATAGATACAGAAAGCTCTTCACAAATCACACTACACACTCGTAAGTTTGAGTTCTCTTCCCATTTCACATCCCCACCCTCCTCCCCATCTCAGAATCAGGATTAGAATAACCCCAGAACTCCTTTCTTTCTTTATGTATAGATATGTGTGTCTTCATTTAATCCTCACAATTTATAAAGTTGATTCAATTATGCTTATTTTTAGTTCAAAACCCTGAGGCAGAGAGGTTAATTTACTCAGTTACAGAACTGGTTAGTAGTGAAGCCCAGATTCAAATCAGGTAGGCTGATTCCAGTCTGTGATAAACAAGTAATATTTAAAACAAGTGATTTTACACCTCTAAAGGGATATTATGTTAGCATTTCCCATTCTCAGTAAACATTAACAAGTGTTCATTTCAGTGGCCTTTCAGGTTATTGCCTATTTTTAAGACCAACAAACTAACCATCAGGGGAATGAGTTGCACAGTCCAGGTTTTTCTCCCCAAAATAAGCCTTCAAATCCAACAAGGAGTGGTTTTCTCTTCTGACCCTCTTGCTCCCTGCTCAATCGCAAAGAGAAATAGAGGAAAACTATTTCAGTTTGCAGATCTGTTTTTTCTGAACCTGCTTCCCGGCATCTTTATCTGGAGGTAAATGCAACTAGTCAGGTCATGTGTACTGGCACCCTTTTTATTCTTTTTCTAGAGTACTGTTCATTCAAATCACACAAGCAATTATCTATCCACAGCAGCTACAAGCTGTTTGAAAATGCAATGAAAAGTGAGGCGGGGAAGAGGCAGTAAGATTAAGATGTTTAAGTGCCAACATTTAACCTATCTAATCTGTCTCCACCTAACCCTCCTCTCTCCACCAAGCTAGTGTTTGAATTATGATCATCCTTACTTGTCAGTGCTGTATTTAACAGAAAAGAACCCCTCCTCCCTAAAAGACAGGATGACCTTAACATCAGTAAGGCTCCAGTTCATCCTGTTGTATTGGATGTGTCCTTTACTGCTGTAACAAAGCAAGAACATCTGGATCTTTTTACTGATCGTAAGTCCTGCAGGTATACTCAGTTTTACTGGGCACAGCCTTTTGACTATTATTTACACAGAACTTCAGCATCTTAATAACCACAAAAACTTGCTTAAGGATTTGGTAGCTTTTCCCAGGTTGGCACATTCTTACAGGAATTTACTAAGTTTAGTTTCCACCAATTAATTTGTAAATCAGGTATTTAAAGCTGGATGCTTTCCCTTGTAAAGAGTGGTTCATAAACCTTAAGGTGGTTGCAATCGTACAATAAAACAGTATAAAACAATAAAAGGTAGTATTAGAGAAAGTATGTATGCAATGCCATTAGCCAAACAAACAAAATACACAGAACAAGAAATTTTTATTATCTCGAATGCTGGTGCAAACCAATAACAAGTTTAATTAGAGGAGGAGACAGAGGGAAACTTCAGACACTAAGGTGGGTTTCTGGGCAGGTTTAAAAACCTTTAGGGGTTGACAGCATAATTGCTCATAGTCTTTTTGAGATAATAGGGTTTTCCTTTTACTTGACAATATTCACTTAACAGTTCCTACGCTATGAAGTTCAACCAAAGTCTTTTGCCTGTAAAGTTAAATGAAAGAGAGCAAGTACAACAGAAAATTTCTCTAGTATATAAGGATGTTAGAAAATTTGTTTTCTTTATACTTTTACATACAGTTTAATGTCTAAATTTGAAACTGTATTAAAGACGTCTCAATTTTTGACTTTCAAAAATGGTCAAGACAATGACTTCTCGAATTAAAGATTACAGTAGCTTTAAAAATGATGATACATGTACAAACAAAATCTCAAATACTCTTGGAAACACTTTTTAAGATACAGCACACGTGACATACTTCTTTCAGGGCATGATTATCCTTTCAGGATACTGAAGAGTACTCAGTTTATCTTACACTAAAAATTTAGCCTTTGGTAACTACGGCTTGGCTAGATCACAACATGGAATCCTCAGAGTTTTCTCAATAGGCTTTCAGTCCAAATAACTCAAAAGACATCTCGTGTCCTAAGCTGGGTAAACTGATTGCTTTTTTTTTAATATTAATTAATATCAGTGGGCTGTTGTAGTGGCAGTTTGTCTTGGTCATGACTTAATTATTGCAAAGCCATCCCTTACAGTGAAATATGAAAGATATTTCCCCCAACGCAAGGCAATGAAACTGGATCAATAACAAAGTCAAAGCCATAGGTGTTTCAGGACATTCTTGAAAAGAGGTTTCAACAGTACTAAGTTCCTTCTTCTTTAACAATTTTCTTCCTTTTTCATAACTGTGCAGTCACTACCCTATTGTATTCTGCAAAACAAAAAAAAATTTTTTAAGATCAAGTTCTTCATTGGCACGGAACTATTTGGAATGAACCCAAGAGACAATGGAATGCTGGGTGTCTCCTCAAGTAGTTTCCTCCTCTCTTCACAGCATTTTTACTACTCTCTATCAATAATCTCATCACAGCCGAGTTCTTCGGTCAGACGATTGACAACCATAAGTGAAAAAAGCTCTTCGATAAAAGCCAGCTGATCAAACGGGGTCTTCTCATAATGCATCTGGAACCCGCCATCCAGAGCTGCTTCTCTGGCTCTGGAGGTTCTCAGGAACATCTTGTTGGCTTCTTCAAGGGCCGCTGATACTCTGTAGCCCGCACCGCTCAGCTGCTCCTCTTCCGGATAGTCGTAGTCCTCCTCCCAGTCATCAAATTCCTCACCCTCGTCCTCGCTCTCGAAATCAGGGCCCGCGATCTGGCCCGGCTGCGCCCCGGGGCTGGGCTGGATGGCCAGGCCTCGCTGCCCCTGCGGCTCCGCCATTGGCTGGGCCGCCTCCTCCTCCATCGGGCCTTCCTCCTCCAGCTGTGGCGGGGCCCCGGGGCGGGAGGGGTTCGGGGATGGCTCCCGGCTCCCGCTGCCTACCTCCATCTGCGGAAGGTCACCCTCGCCAGGCATCACATCCATCTGCAGGTCGTTGCTCTCCTCGTAGAGCTCGGACAGCTCGTGCATTTCCGACATTGTGCAAGCGGCTCAAGCTCTCGCCAGCGGTTTTCAGCAAGATCGGAGCTACGCGGCCGTGCGGTTGTGCGCTTGCGCAGGCGCCGTGCGCTGGCGGGACCCTGCGTGTGTGCGCGTGCGCGACCCCCAGACACCGCCTCCCGCTAGGCGCGGCGCGCGGGCGCTGGCCGCTCTGTGCTCCCCTAGGGGCCGTCCGGGGGGGCGGATGGGGTGTCGTTTCTATCCGTCCGCAGTTCATACCTAAACACTGTGCATACAGGAGCATTGCTTATCCTCCGCCTTTCTTAACCACTCTGCTGCTTGTAGTGCTCTAAACTTGAAAATACTTTACATGTCTTCTGTAATGATGCTTAAATCCTGCTCCCGCCTCGCCCTCTCTTTTCCCCCAGCCCCAGGCCATCGCATCTGCTCCCCGGTTTTAATTACGCCTTATCTATGCCGTAATAACTGTTCAGTCCGTACCTCCAAACTTTACGGGGTTCTCAAACACAGATCATGTTAAAAACTGATCTATTTATTTCTCCTGTTTCATTAAAAAAACAAAAGTTAAATTCACAAATAAGCATATTATAAGTGCTCTTTAAAAAATACATAGTGAAGAAATACTATACTTGGTCCCATTCTTTTTGCATAAGGTAACTTTACACTGTTGTCAATTGGTTGTTCTCTTTTTTTATTGAAGTGTAGTTGGTTTACAATACTGTATGAATTTCAGGTGTACAGCAAAGTGATTCAGCTCTCCATTCAGCTCTCTATTTTATTAGATTCTATTATATATATTAGATTCATTTCCGTTATAGGTTATTACAAGGTATTGAATATACTTCCCTGTGTGCCACAGTATGTCTTTGTTAATCTGTTTTATATATAGTGATATGCATCTGTTAATCCCATACTCCTAATTTATCCCTCCTTCCCTTTCCCTTTTGGTAACCACAAATTTGTTTTCTGTGTCTATGAGTCTCTTTCTGCTTTTTAAATAAATTCATTAGCATTATTTTTAGATTCCACTTATAAGTGATATCATATACTTCTCTCTCTCTTTGTCTGACTTACTTCACTCACTATGATGATCGATCATCTCCAGGCCCATCCATCTTGTTGCAAATGGTACTGTTTAATTCTTTTTCACAGCTAAGTAATATTCGTGTGTGCGTGCGCGCGCGCGCGCGCGTGTGTGTGTGTATGAATACCACATCTTTATCCAGTCATCTGTTGATGGGCACTTAGATTGCTTCCATGTCTTGGCTATTGTAAATAGTGCTGCTGTGAACATTAGGGTGCATGTATCTTTTCAAGTTAGAGTTTTGTCTGTCTGGATATATGTCCAGGAGTGGGACTGCTGGATCGTATGGTAACTCTATTTTTAATTTTTAAAGGAACCTCCATACTGTTTTCCATAGTAAGCACTAACTTACATTCCCACCAACAGTGTAGGAAGGACCCCTTTTCTCCTGGTGTGTATTCTTTAAATCTCTTTTCTTTGTATTTACATGGATTTATATGTCCTCATGGAAAAATCTTATTTTTTTAATGTCATACCTAATTGTCTTAAACTTACAAAATAAGCAAACCAAAAAACCCTCATCAAGGTCTTGAAGATTTAACTGCATTAGTATCCATAGACAGTATTTTTTCATAGTATTCTATTTGTGTAGCTGTACTATAGTTAAAAACTATGCACAAATACTTTTCTATTTCTTGATATAATAAATTATGAGTAAATGAACAGCCACATGTGCCAATTATTCTCTAGAATAAAAACCTACAAGTGGAAAGGTGGAATTGTAGGGTATGCATACTTTAATTTTAATATATGTCAAGTTGCTCTCCAAACTTGCTGTGCAAATTTAAGCTCTAGCCAGCAGTGTTTGAGAATATTCACACCCTTGCCACATATGATTTTGCTGAACTTTAACAATTTTATCAATTTAATGGTGTTTTGTTTCATTTTCTATAACCTTGATTTCTTGGAAATTGATTATCTTTTAATATGTTTATTAAACATGTATTCTAAAAATTAAGTGGTCTTATTTCGAGTTTATTTCTTTTTCTTACTGATGTAGGAATTTCTTATAAACTCTGTATATGAATACTTTGTTCCACATGTTGCGAAATTCTCTCTGCCTGTTGTTTCTTATTTCACGGGTCTTATACAAAAGTTTAAAAATGAGTTTTCATGTAATAAGATTTAAGAGTTTTTTTTTCTGTATGTCTTTTTCTTTCTATTAAGTTAAATTTACCTACCTCAGAGGTCAAAAGCATAATCTTTTATCTGTCTTCTAATATTTGTCTAGATCTTTTATGGATCAAACATTTATTTATAGCAATAGTATGAGGACAGGATTTATTTGTATATTTTTCCCATATGTGTAGCTGATTCAGCTGACTCCACTGATTTAATCACTTGTCCTTTTGTCTCCTGTTTGGTGCCACATTTATCATAGAATGAAAGGCCACGAAAGTGTGAATCTTTTCAGACTTTGTAGTCTAGTGAATTTCCATTTTTTTAGAATACATCTTGCTAATAAGGAAAATCTCTTGTCTCTTTGTTCTTTAAAAAATTACCTCAGCTCTTTTTGCACATTTATTCTTTCATGTGAATTTTAGAAGTAGTTTGAAAAGTTCCTTGAATGACATTGGTGGAATTTGTATTGGAATTACATGGAATTTATAGATTAACTTGGGGAAGAATTGACATCTTTACAATGTTGTCTTCTAATTGATAAAGGTGACGTGTGTACTTTCTACTTGTTCAGGTCTTATTTATATCCTTCAATGAAGTTTTCTAAAAAGTCTTATGTGGTTATCATTAATTTTATACTTAGTTTCTCTTGTAAAATGTACCTCCCTCCTCCCTTCTGCACAGTGTCACATTGGCTATTGGTGATATATGGGAAAAACATTGATCTTTGTGTATTGATTTTGTTTTTAGTAATTATTTTTAACTGAAATATAAATACAGGAAACATAAATATAGAAAAGTACATAAATCATAAGTATATAGATTGATTATTACAAAAAAAAAATCTGTGCAACCACTACAGTTCAAGGAACACCATTTGCAAGATCCCAGAAAGCCACTTGCTTTCCCCTTCCTTTGCCCCAAAAGTCATCACTATCCTGAATTCAAACAGAATAAAAGAATTTTGCCTGTTTTCAAATTTTATGTAAGTTATACAGTCTTTGTGTCTGGATTCTTTTGCCCAAGGAATCTGTTGCTGCTATGTAGTAGTCTATTGTTTGTTTAATTATGGGGGAAGTAATTGGGTTTATTTATTTTGTGGGGAGGCACTGGGGATTGAGCCCAGGACCTCATGCATGCAAAGCACGCACTCTACCACTTGAGCTACGCCCTCCCTCATTGTTTGAATATCACAATGATCATCATTAGGGTTGTTTCCAGTTTGGAGCTATTATGAACCGGTCCGTGATTATCTTCCTTGAGAAGATCTTTCGGTGCACGTATTTACACAGTTCTTTTGGATATGCATCGAAGAGTAGAACTGCTTGCTCATTTTATATGAGCAGCTTTAGTACCCTGTTTAGCAAATCTGAACACAAGATTAGCCAGTTGGTGCACAGTTGTTTTAGTGAACCTTCAAAACCGTATAACAAACACATCTCTGCAAGTTGATCACTACATTCTGGTTTCCAAACAAGCAAGCGGAGAATCTCAAGTAAGAGACAATTTTCTTCACTAATTATTGCGGTTCAGTTGGATAGTCTTACTTCATATCAGAAGTCCTAATGTTAGTGCCTTTGTAAGGATACTTTTGGTGGCAAATGACTCAAACCCAATTCAAAGAAACTTATATAAAAATAAAGAAAATAGAAAAATACATAAAAACATAAACGGAGGGGGGAAATGTATGGGTTGAAGTGATGAAACAAATGTTACCCACTGACTTTCACTATTTTTAATTCTCAGCTCTGATTTTCTCCAAGAGAGAAAGCTTCGGTTGCCAACATATGGCAGCAAAGGATGAGTCTTAGAAACTTTGGCTTATACTAAGGTCTTAAGTGGCAGGGAGAGATGCATTATCTTCTATTATTCCTCTCAGTTCTTCCGCAAAGATAATGTTGATTGACTTTGCCATGCTCAGAGAGGGGATGTTTTCTGATTGGCTAGGCCTGGATCATGTGTCCACCTGCAAGGAGAAGGGCCGTGAGAAGGGCGTGTCACACCCACCTGAACCTCATGCTCTAAATGAGATTATTATAGAACGTGGCTGGAGCGGTTGCCAAAGGGAGGCTGAATAGGCGAAAACAAAACAAACAAATGTATGTCCATTACTGTTAGATGGTATGTAATTAGGTATAATTAACTTATAGCATCACACATGTTTGTTTCTGTTTTCCAGATTATTGCAAATCATCATATGCAGTCTATTTCATTTGCCTCTGGAGGAGATCCTGTAAGTATGAATTCATGAAAGTTCTTTCTATAAGAGTTAAAAGAACTTCCATGTAAAGCGTATTAGTCACTACATGTCTTTTCCACATATCTTACAACAGTTTGTGAATAGACACATGTAGCAGTTAATCAGAAATTTGGTTTTGACAAAATATTTCCTGTCACTGATTTTTAAAATATTTGGATTAGTAGATGAACAGATAATACTCCATTGTGCTGTTGGCCATGGAGTTATCATCTGAGGAGCTTCCTGTAGATAACATCAAATTCATAAAAAAACAAAAATGTCATACATGTGTTGCTGGTCCTCTCTCAGAATTCTTTTCAACACAGAGTTCCAGGCAGATCCTTAATCCATTGGATTTGGCATAGGAAGGTCAGCCTATTTGGCATTCTGGTTGTCAGCCAAGGCAGCTAAGTCTAACCTGAACAACCAAGTTTGCACGAACGCATGGTGCAACTTGCAGTTCCTCCCTCCCACGAGGCCACATGGTGCTCATTTCCATGAATTGTATGGGACCCAGTGGGTGCTCTCACTCCCCGCCTTCTTGGCAGAGTGGAGGGTGATTCCCTGACCCCCAACTGCATCACTTCTGGGACCAGAGCAGAAGGAGAGAGGCATTGAAGCTAGGATGCCTGTGACTGACCAAGAAACAAGCCTGTTTAAACTGAGGGAGCTGAAGGAGGATTTTGCTCCTCTGTGACACTGTGACATTTTTCTTGTACCTGCAATATACGGTTGGCCCTTGAACCACACGGGGATTAGGGGCCCCGGTCTTCCACAAAGTCAAAAATCTATGTACACTTTATTGTGGGCCCTCCATATTTGCCGTCCATGCAGTCTTGTGATCTGGCCTCAGCAGCCACACCACAAGATGTGTTTGGTAGTAGAGAGGATCAACTACCAGCCTGAAAAGGCAGAGTCATCACTTCTCTTCCTGACTCACTGTAGCTCGACCATCCATGAAGGAGCTCAAATACTTTCCTTAAGCAATTCAGAGTAATGAGTTCTACATAAAAGTAGTGTGAAAAATAATTGCTGTTTGCCCTAAATTTCCCTTTTCAAGTTTCAAGGGTTGCTGTCATTTTAGAATTGGTATGAGAATCCTCATTTACCCTAGCCATGCCCTGTGTGGTGTCTTAGTTCTCCAGAATCCTAATTCTTCTTAAACTGTCTTCCTGTGCCTTTAGTTCTTTCAACCAACCAAAGCACTGCCCCTGCCAAAAACACACAGGAGAGAATTAGTAGCCACTCTAGGAAAGTTTGTACCTACTGAATGGAGTCTACGGCTGGGGAGAAATCCTGCTGGTTTTAAATAGAAAACTGGAAGAACCATGAAGCATTGGCATTAGAGGTCCCCCAAGTGACATTTTTCCCACAGGGCAGGGGGATAGGATGGAGAAGTGCCAGACTCTGGAGTCAAGCAAACTTGTCTTTTTTAGACTCTCTAAGCTTCAGTGTCCTCATCTGTAAAATGCGGAATGGTCACTCTTGCCTCACAGTGTTGTGAGAATTAAGTGAAAGGGTGCGTGTAAACTGCTAGCACAGTGCCTGGCACAGAGTGATAGGAGAGAGCCATCCCCACTGTTGCTGATACACGTCTGTATTTGCTTAGGATGCTCACTGAGATCATTTACAACTTCACGGCTAACTGCCTGGGTCCAAGGAGTAGGAAGCCAAAAGTCTCCGTGACTCAATGTAGTACCCTTCTTCCTACCAGATTCCCTCCAAAGTTTACAAAATACTGAGTGACCGCCTCCTCACCTTGTGACCTTGCTACCCGCACTTTTTCTCTCTTCTCAAAAACAGTTTACTTGTTCTTCTGTCAGCCCTGAAGACAGTTCTTGGTAGTGCTTCTGTGTCTGTACATACTTTATCCATTTCAGGAATGCATTATGAGTATGTCCAAATTAAATACATTTTTTTACACTTCCCCCCACTATTTGTGCTTCACTTTTAACCTTCTTTAAATTCTCCCAGATATTTACAGTTACAGAATTTTAGGACTGTAAGAACATTGGAGATTCTTTTGAAGATGAGGATACCAAGGTCTGGAGAGGTCCCATGACCTCTTTCTCATCAACTAACATAGTAGAAAACATTGCTAGCATCATACCACATCTTCAACTTAAAAAAAAATTTTTTTTAATTTTTCTGGGGGGAAGTAATTAGGTTTATTTATGTTTTTAAATGGAGGTCCTGGGTGCAAGCCCCAGGACCTCCTGCATGCTAAGCATGTGCTCTACCACTGAGCTACACCCCGCCCAGTCTTCAACTTTACAATTAGCAGCCACGCCCGCAGCAATTGTGGCTTTGCTTCTAACTCATAAAGATCATAGGTATGACCTTATTTATCTACAAGATATTTAAAATCTTTTATCTTTTTTGCATAAGACAGATTTACTAAGGTGTGTGTTATTTTTAAAAATAACTGAAGACAAGTTAGGCTGACCCTGAGATCCGCTTCCCATATGATTCATTGTGGGTTATTAAGTGATTGTCCTTGAGGGTATTACAAACATGGGCTTTTATTTCCTGCCAGTTGATTGCATCTTCCCTCTCTAGAGTCACACTTCTGATCTACAAATGGCAGTGTGTGTATATTTTTTCTGAGAACTGAGATAACAAAAAGCAACTTTAATTATTAAAATCTTATCATTCATCAGCATACTGTTTTCAAGTCAGAATTACCAAGTGGCTTTTTGTTTGTTTGTTTTTGCAAAGTCAGCAACACATTCCTTTTTTGAACTCGTTAGGTTTTATTATGGATTCTCTTTTTCAAAAATGATCTTTTCTTTCTATGTATTGATCAGATAAATGCCTTGCATTTTTGCTTTATTATTCCTTCAGTTGCACTGTGCACAAGCAAGCTAACAACCATGAAACCCTGGTCTCTTTAATCGACTTATTTTCTAATGTACATGGTATCTGTTTGGACAACTGGGAAATCATGGTGCCCTGTCCTAGTTAATGACATCTTTGTGGTCGCAACACTGGTATTTCATCTCTCAGCACAGAAGAGAGTTACAGTCAGTCCCTAATCATTTTTAAAGAATATTTGTCTTAACATATCCCCTACCTGCATTCTCTCTTCTTTTAAAAAGTATGTTTATTAATTTATTTTGTAGGGGGAAGGAAAGGTAATTAGGTTTACTTATTTATTTTTAGAGGAGGTACTGGGGATTGAACCCAGGACCTTGTGCATGCTAAGCAAATACTCTACCACTTGAGCTGTACCCTCCCCTGGCACCTGCATTGTCTTATATTCTTAGTGACATAGTCTGCCTCCAAATTTTTAATCTTCAAACCTCTCCCCAAGGGGCAGAGAATGTGGACTCCACAGTTGCTATATATATATATATATATATATATATATATATATATATATATATATAGTATATTATTACTTATTTAGTTTACTTTTACGTTTACCCGTTACGTTACGTAGTTACTTTACCTTTTTTTAACCTTTTTTTTAAACCTTTAAAACGT